TGCTGCTGCTGCTGCTGCTGCTGCTGCTGCTGCTGCTGCTGCTGCTGCTGCTGCTGCTGCGTTTGTGGCTGTGGCTGTTAGTTTTGCGCTGCCGCCGTAGCAGCTTTTGCTGCTGCTTCTGCTGCTGCTGCTACTGCTGCTGCTGCTGCTGCTGGAAGCAGCACAGTGCAATTCCGTACAAGCGCCTCTCTGCTGCTGCTGCTGCTGCTGCTGCTTTTGCTGCTGCTGCTGCTGCTGCTGCTGCTGCAGACCATGAGGGCTTTTATTTCGCGAGGTGCTGCTTATGTGACCTTCGAAATTCCCAAAAGTCACAAACTAATGATAAGGACACTCCTAGCTGACTCCCATACAGGTTAACCCTAAACCCTAAACCCTAAACCCTAAACCCTAAACCCTAAACCCTAAACCCTAAACCCTAAACCCTAAGGCTTCAACGTTATTGCTGAAACCCTAAACCCTTTATTTGTGGGGCGAACTTGGAGTCTCAGCAAGGCAGGAGCTGCTTTACTAATACACACTGCGCGTAAACCCTAAACCCTCAGCCCTAACCCCTAAACCCTAAACCCTGAACCCTAAACCCTAAACCCTAAACCCTAAACCCTTGTTTCTTTTCAGGGAAGAGGAACGCCATAGAAGCCATCACCAACTTCAGCGGCCTGCCAACTGAACCCACTCACACATGTGCAGCCCTCAAGGTCCCTTTTGCTGCTGCTGTTGCTTCTGCTGCTGCTGCTTCTGCTGCTGCTGCTGCTGCTGCTGCTGCTGCTGCTGCTGTCGTGGATGCTGCAGCTGCTGCGAATATTGCAGCTGCTGCACCCTTTTTGTGCTGCTGCTGTCTTCCTTGCTGCTGCTGCTGCTGCTGATGATCCATTTCGTGCGCTGTTACCCCTCTTGCTGTTACTGCTGCTGCTGCTGCTTCTCGCTTCTGTGTGCTGTTGCTGCTGCTGCTGCTGCTGCTGCTGCTGCTGCTGCAGCTGCAGAACATTGTCTTGCTATGGCTGCTGAATATAAGCAAGTGGCAGTTTCTTAACAGTTCTTTTTTTTGTTTATTTGCAATAATATAAATATAACTCATCTTTTTATTTATTTATTTATTTATTTATTTATTTATTTGTTTATTTATTTATTTATTTATTTGTTTATTTGTTTATTTATTTATTTATTTATTTTTGTTTTTAGGAACAACCACTGGAGACAGACGCAATTGAAATTGAACTGACTGACGGGACCCAATGGATTTTTGTGTTTGACAGAAAAGTAAACCCCAAACCCTAAACCCTAAACCCTAAACCCTAAACCCTAAACCCTAAACCCTAAATCTAAACCCTAGACGCTAAACGTCAAACCTTAGATTCTAAACCCTAGCTTTTGGATGCTAAACCCTAGACGCTAAACCCTAGACGAAGCCCTAAACCATTAACCCTAAACCCTAAATACTAAACCCTAAACCCTAAACCCTAAACCCTAAACCCTAAACCCTATAGACCACAGAGAGCCTCTGAGAGGTATATGGCGAGTAGTGCACTTTTTGTTCTTGTGAAGAGCAAAACCCTAAAAGGGGGAATTAGGGTTTGCAAATATGGAGTTTTTGATTTTAAATATCTTTTTTGTTTTTTGTTCAAAATCTTTTCTTTTTTTCGCTCCCAGTTGCTGTTTAGCTTCTCCTTTTTAAAATTAAATTCTTTTTTCCATTTTATTCTTTTCTTTTCCTCTCCAGGTCCCTCTTGTTTGCCAAGGGTACAACACCCACAGCGAGCTGCTCTCGGGGGCCCCCCTGGGGGCCCCCCTGCTGCTGCGGGCGGCAGTTTCGAGTGTATGTACACACGAATGGGTGCAGCAAAAAAGAAATAATTCCAAAAAAAATAAAAAAGATTTTAATTCTCTTTTCTTCTACAACGCCGAGAAACTCTGTCCCTCCGACAGAGCCCAGAAGCTCTCCAAAGCGCGCTGGCGAGTCCCTCTAGGGTTTAGGGTTTAGGGTTTAGGGTTTAGGGTTTGGGGTTTGGGGTCTAGGGTTTAGGGTTTGCCGCTCCATGGGCTGCACTACCTCTATAAATCAGCTTGTTGTTGTATAATATATATATAATAGTGGACTTGCATTTAATGCATTTCTGGACATTTATCAAATAAAAATAACTGCCAAAAAAGTATCTTTTTTGTTTGCAAAAAGTGCGAATTTCAGGTGTACGTACACCCTGCGCCCACTGCATGCCATTCAGGGCACTTTGCCTTTTTCTTCATTTTCTTTTCAGAAGCAAATATTGTTTTTTAATAAAACTTTTTGATGAAATTAATAATAAATTGTGTCCCTTAATGTTGCGCAGCAGCAGCAAGTAAATAAACAAAAAATAAATTCAAAACTTTTCCGCTTTTTGGTTTTCTCGGACTCAGTTTGCGGGAAAGGGGGAAGCGGGAGAAGACGATTTGTCTATTTTCCTTTTTCCAGCTCCAGAAATAAATTCTTTTTGATTTTTAATGCTTTTGAGAGCTTATTTTTTGAAATTTAAACAAAAAGTTAATTAAAAATATAAAAAAGTATGTAAAAATGTACAAAAATGATGGGAAAATGATAAAAGTGAGGAAAAGCGTGAAGTCCACTGCACAAGGCGAACACTTTCGCTTTTTTCGGGTTTTTTCAACTCCAAATTTCAAAAAACAAAAATTAAATGAAATAAAACATTTAAAGTTTCAAAAAATATCAAAAAAACGAAATAAAACATTTAAAATGAATGAATTTAATTGCGAAAACGCGGCGGCCAAGACAGCTGGGGCGCGCGGTGTACGTACACCCCAACGCAGCAACTCAGTCGATTCTTCTTTTGGAGATTTTTCGAATTTTTAAAAACCATTTTAATCTTTTTCTTAAAATTAATTCATTTTGAAGATCTATTTTTGAATTAAATTCATTTTTAAAGTTCAATTGGTTCAATTCAGAATTTAAAATCCACTTTTTTGGCTTTTTCATCTTTTTGCCCATTTGCCATTTTCGCCCCTTTTGTGCCAATTCAACTTCTTGAATTTAATTCATTTATTTCTTTTTATTTTTATTTCTATTTTTTAATTTAATTATTTTTCATTAATTTATCTTTATTCTCATTTACATTTATTTATTTATTTATTTATTTATTTATTTATTTATTTATTTATTTATTTATTATTTATTTATTATTTATTTATTTATTATTCATTTATTTATTTATGTATTTATTCTTATTTACAGGAAACTCATGACTCTTTTCAACGCCCTTCCAAACAGATATTTGGAAACTGCTGTCAACTTCCTTCAGAGACAAGCAAGATGCTGCTGCTGCTGCTGCTGCTGATAATTATGCTGCTGCTGCTGCTCCTGCTGCTGCTGCTGCTGATAATAATGCTGCTGCTGCTGCTGCTGATGCTGATAATGCTGCTGCTGCTGCTGGTAATGATGCTGCTGCTGTTGTCGCTGGCAGTGATGCTGCTGCTACTTTTGCTGCTCATGATGATTGCGCTGCTACTGCTGCTGCTGCCGACAATAATAATGCTGCTGCTGCTGCTGCTGGTAATCTTGCTGCTGCTGCTGCTGCTGGTAATCTTGCTGCTGCTGCTGCTGAGCTGCTGCTGGTGCTGCTGTTGCTAATAATAATGCTGCTGCTATTGATAATCGTGCTGCTGCTGCTGCTCATAATGATGCTGCTGCTGGTGCTGCTGCCAATGCTACTGCTGCTGCCGCTGATGGTACTGCTGCTGCTGCTGCTGCTGCTGCTGCTGCTGCGGCTACCGACAGTGCTGCTGCTGCTGCTGCCGCCGCCGATAATGCTGCTGCTGCTGTTGCTGTTGCTGCTGCTGCTGCTGCTGCATTCTTTATCCATTTATTCTCAATTAGTTAAATTTTATTTATTATTTATTTATTTATTTATTTATTTATTTATTTATTTATTTGTTTATTTATTTATTTATTTATTCTTTTAGGGCCCCGGGCGAAAAATGTTTGAGCGGGCCTTCACGAATTTTCCGCTGAGGGTAAAAAGTGAAAAATAAAAATTTTTAATTTTTAAATTAATTTTTAATTTTACTTTTATTTGTTTATTTATTTATTTTATTAATTCGTTATTTATTTATTTATTTATTTATTATTTATTTATTATTTATTCATTATTTGTTTTATGTATTTATTTATTTATTTATTTATTTATTACTTTTTGTCGATTATTTGAATTATACTTACGTGTATTTGCTGCTTGCTGCTGCTGCTGCTGCTGCTGAACATTTTTCTTTTTTATTTTTACTTTTTATTTCTACTTTTTCTAAAATGTAAAATACAAATTTAATTAATTAGTCAAAATCAAAAACTATTTTTTCATGTTTTTTTGTCTCCTCTATTTGCCACTTTTTCCCCTTTAAAGAGTTCATGCTTCTGCTGCTGCTGCTGCTGTGGATAATGCTGCTGCTGCTGCTGCTGCTGCTGTGGCTAGTGCTGCTGCTGCTGCTGCTGATAGTAATACTGCTTCTGCTTCTGACGATACTGTTGCTGCTGCTGTGGCCAATGACAATGCTGCTGCTGCTGCTGCTGCTGCTGCTGCTGCTGCTGCGCCTCAGGAGCAGCTGCGGCTGCTGAGCAGCAGCAAAGAACACGGGGGTTTTGAGTTGCTGCTGCTGCCTTGGGTCCCCGACTTAATTGCTGCTGCTATTCGTGACCTCAGCAACCCAGTAGACGCCATAGTGCTCCCCAGCGACTTCTTCAGGTGCGCTAAACCCTAAATTAGGGTTTGCGCGGCTAAACCCTATTTTGGGGTTTGGGACGCTAAACAATAAGCGCGCTCTGCTTGAAGCGCTAAACACTAATTTAGGGTTTGGCACCGCAGCCTTTTGGAGCACCCACACTCCAAGTTGGGGCCTGACGCACATGAAAACCCCAAATTAGGGTTTGAGGCCCTAAACCCTAATTTAGGGTTCACGAACAGCTACCACTATTGAGCACTATTTAGAACAAAACTTGAAAGGAATAAACAAAAATGAATCTG